AGGAATGAATTGAATAGCTACCCAAGTTTATTGGCATAACCTGAGTTGGAACAGTGGAACATGCCCGGTTTCAACCCAAACAATAATATTCTTTAGTTTACTATAGTTAAATATAATTTCAAAGTTTTTACTATATAGTAAATCAAAGTATTTTTACCATGAATTTCTAATTATTATATTTTATATTTCTCAATTTTTACATGAGATATTTTGAAGAATTAGTGCTAGGGCATTCATACTGAACATGTGTATTCCTTGTGACAAGACCTTACTTTTGATACCGACAACTTTGGCCCATTGACCTTGACCTTGGAGTTTGACCTACTTTAAAAAAACTTTAACCTTGGCCATAGCATTTGAACATTCGGTTCTAGGGCTTTCATATTTCACGTACATGTGTATCACTTGTGACAAGACCTTCCGTCGGGCACCTTGATTTTTTCCTTACTTTTGAAAAAAAAATAACTTTCGCCATAACTTTTTAATGGTTGGTGTTAGGGACTTTAAATTTCACGGGTATATTCCTTGAGAGAAGACATTTCTTTGGGCATCAACATTTTTTATCCTTTGTCCTGGAGTTTGACTTGCATTTGAGAAACTTTAACCTTCACCTAAAGCTGCCATACTGGGGCATCATTGTTTCGCATTGTTTAAATATAGGATCAGATTTAAACATACAGAAAGTAAATTTGAAATCCCTTCGGGGTAATAAAACCATAGCAACTATTGCCGATAAGAAATATCACGTATCGTCCTTGGTATATTTTATTACAAGGCTCTTTCTCTATTACTTGGTTGCATTTCAGTCTATGATTGCTTTTGAGTATGTACAGAAAATATATATTTATATCATTGCCTCATTTCGTAAATTATGAATTATATTTTTGCAAGTATTTGCTCGTATTGCGGTATGATAATTCTATTTACTATTGTTTTCATTTGTTACTTACGTAAAACCTCTTTATTACTTGTTGTTTATAAGTTAGGACAGGTGTTGACATTCCATATGTTTTGCTTTTAAACAGGAAGTGTCACCCATGTTGGCAGTCTTTCTGTAGTACATTTGATAGCTGTGTTATGATTGGTTAAACTGCCCATAGGATCTTTGATATTTATATTGGCTTTTATTTTTGGGCCGAGCTTGGGTATCTAAAGCTGTGTTCGAGCAGTTTACTTCATTTGGTTAGGGATAAGCCTCATGGCACATTATCTCTTATTTTATGTCAACCTCAAGGTTCACGGCATTTTAGGTTTCATTTAGCCATTTCATATTGCCATAGTAACCATGATACCAGTTTTTGCCTGATTTGAGTTTACGGTATCAAAGACTTTCATCATAGAGAGTTTGGAGAAATTCTAAGACTTTGCGTTCCACACCTCCTATTCAAAATGGCTCTTAAGGTCAAGATCTAGTATATGAGTTGAGACTGTCTTTTTGATGCTAGGTCCATTTTGACGTCATAATTGAATAATTCAATTTTCCTTACTTTCATCACTTTCAACTAATGTATTTCTACGGAGAATTTTTTCTGGTATTTTCCGATGAATATAATGTCAATTTTTGTAACCGAACTACTTTTCATTGTACATTTTGATACGATTATATTGACCGTGTTTACGTCTTTCGAATAACTATAGGAACGCGACTGTGTTATAAATAATACCTTCTTAAAGGAATAATAATGTTCGTCTCATGATTTAAATTCAGCTTCTTTAAATCTTTTGATTCTCTTTGTGTGCTTTAAAGGAAATATTTTTATCGAGTGTTTCTATTTTTGAATTATACAATAAAAATAATTAAATTTCGTGCACAATTTTTTGAGTTAGTTAAATAATGAGTATGTACAAGAAAAGTAACGCATGTTTTTCGCTGAAATTGAATTATAAGCATTGACTATATAAATTATTTTGTTCATCGAGAAATGGATCTAAAAAACGAATAGCACACTTTATGAAAGCCGACGGCTAGTCAATCCTATAATAAACCTTCATTTTCCCCGTATTTTACGGCTATAGTAAATTTATGTAGAAATTGAAGCATTTTCTCGTAATTCACTTTGAAATTATGTCAAAAGTAACCCAATACCCATGAAAAATGCTTTCTCAGAGATTGCAGGCAATATTGATACATTTCTTTTTGTCTGAAATTGAAAGAACTCTCATATTTTTACCAGATTGTCCCCATTTTTCATTTAAGATGGCAGTTTAAAATGTTTCTTCGTTGAGTTTACCTAAAATAATGTCCCGATACAACTTATTTTACCAAACTATATTTGTAAATGATCGTTAAAAGAATTTGTTTCTCAAATTTGATAAATCTGAAGGCGCTTTTATTTAATAAATCTTGACCTTATTATTAAATGACCCAATGGTCATGGCAAAAAGGAAATTATTGAAGATGTGAAGTGATAGAATATCAGTAGGATAAACACTTTTTTTTGCTGCGTGATATGTTTTAAGGTAAAGAATATAAGTTAATTATATATATAAGACTATACAATTACAATTAACTTGAATTTGTAGAAAAGTGATCTAATTTGTAATAATTTGTATATAAATCACAGGATTTTATTGCAACAAAAATCAATTAATTACATTGTTCATTACGCATGATGTATGAAATGCTAGTACACTTTTATTATTTGTAATAAAGACATTAATTGAAGAGAAAATTATTACATTATTGTTTACAATAGCTTGGTATATCAATTTAAACATTGAATATTCTGTACATTAGGAAAGAAATATAAATCAAAATATTGTGAAAATTAAGGTATTCAATGTATAACGACCATATTTTGTATCTAATAAATGAATGGTACAAAATGATTAATCATGGTAGCATTTTGAAGGTGTTATGAAATAAACATACTCCACCAAAGGAATTTTCAAAATTTTAATTATTGTCCAATTCATTGCACTTTAAATTTTACATTGATGTCTATGGGCAGCGCATATTTTATTAAGATATTGTAAAAAGTAATGTGAATTTCATACAAAACTCTTGGTGAAAATATGCATAAACTCTCTTTTTATTAAAATATGAAATAAAATGAATCATTTACCATAGAAATTTTGACAAAATTAATTTTTTCTTCTTTTATTCAAGGGCAGATTACTCTTCAAAAACTTTTCAGGTGCAAAATGATCAGCTTCTCATTTGTTATCAGTCATGTGAATTTGGTTCATTTCACTTTCATCGTTATCTAGCAATGTATTTTTAACTACTTTAAAACGATTTAAAATTGTTCAAAATCCCTTTGTTATACATTGAATACCTTAATCTTCAGCTTACCGGTATACAGAGCTGTATTTAGAAAATAAATGAATTGTCCAATCTCAAGCTCAAATTAACATTGACTATGTATCATGTTTATTATTTTGATAAATAGTTTTTATTACAAATAGCAGAAATTACCTCGTAATATAATACTGATGAACGGATTATGTCTCCAAATGCGATAAAATGCATAAACACTAAAGATGCAAAGAAATCAATCAAATATCAACTTACTGTTTTTTCCGACATTCAGGTAAATAACAGAGTCATCAACAAACAATAAATGACATAATTATGAATAATTCTACTTGTGAATATATAAAACTTACAAATATTACATGTATGATAGAAAAGCATGAAAATTAAAATCAATATAATTATACGACTATTAGGATTTTATTAAACCTTATTGCGCAACACGCACACAAAGCAAAATCATCACCGGGGTTTCTATGCGTCCCTGATAAGGTTAGACGGCTTTTTAGGAATACCTGTAAATTAATTATACATATGATTGATTCCAACTTTGTATTAATATTTTTGTAACAATAACTTTGTATTGTATTAATAATACATCGAAGATGATTATGTACATTATACACATATGATACATGTGCGAGGGTTGTTCGAAAAGTTCGTGGACTATGCCAATCTTCCTTATACTATCTTCAAGAAATTTAAAATAAGCACATTATCATATGTAAAAATATTTATTTTGTTTAATTGTGAAGTTTCATTCCATGTGATTAAATAGAATTCAAGGTATTTAATTTTAGAATCAACACGTTTTGTAACCACGGAGCAAACTCAACAACACTGTAACGTCAAAAACATACCGACATGAGGTTCTCAAAAATACGATTCCTATACATTTCACACAGTATTATCCAATACCAGTGAGCTAATTAAAAAAGTTTCTTTATCACTTGAAATCTATTTTGCTAACATTTGTTCCAGTAGCATCATTTTGTCAGTGTTATATTTTTTTTCACTGCATAAGTGTGCTTTCACAAGATCGGCATGTGTGAAGCGCCAAACTCGTAAGCATGACGTTACTAACTTTTCAATGTTTTTGACAAGATTTTTACAGATAATCCGTTTTCTCACAGATCACCATTGTGTAAGCAGAGTTTATCATTCAAATTCCGCTTGTACTATGCACACACACATTCATGGCTCGCTTTTAACGTATTTCTACTTCCTCCGGCATTTTCAGAGTTTTTTTCTGGAGTTTTCCAGAGTACAATACAAAATTGTATGTTTAACTGCTGCTCCGTGACGTACTACGACGTCATTTTTTGCATTTTTCAATGAGGACTACCTATCTTCTGAAACTGATTTCTTTTCAACGAAGCAAAATATTAATTCATAATTTGGCATCAGAAACGATGAAACAGTTCTTAATTTGAACGTGTAGAATTTTTTCGTTTTTGTGTCATTTTAAAGAAGATGTGACTTCAGACATTATTAAGTGTCTTGATTGTAAGTTACAAAATTTTGACCTGCTCCGTTATCCGATTTTCGCATTTTTAAACCTAAATAATTTTGAAATAAACCACGATATTTTACAAATTTTTAATACACATCATTTGAATTTACTGTTGAAATATTTCTTCCAAATTTGGATATAATATGACGTTAAGTAAAAAAGTTATGAGGGTAGTCCACGAACTTTTCGAACAACCCTCGTATATACCTTCATTTACACATGTAAATATACTTACAAGTTATTATGCTTGATATTTGGTCTCTGGATTTTGTACTGAAAAAGAAAGTAAAAATCAGTCTTGATTTTTAATGCAATATGAGTAATCTAGAACAATATAGAACAAAACAGTATAATGTAGAACGAATGACTCTGTTCTAGTTTTTGGAATATATATATATTTTTAATTTTGGAAAGTTTGCAAGCAATATCTCTTTGTAGATTGACAGAGTCTACGTGTATTTCTCCTCATCAATTCTGGTTACCTTTGTAGTTAAATGTATAGGTATGTGATGAGTTAACCACAATCTTTTAATCGTACAGTTGGTCTATTCATGCATATTTGTTACAAATATAATTTTTAATTTTCAGTATTGTTATGGTTTTTCTAAACTTTACTACCTACAGACACGTCCTTTTCTTTTGAATTTGCATTTGGTAAGATTTTATATTACATAAAATAATCTTCCATAAACGTAATGGTTGCAATTTATACTATCTCAAAAGTTTGATATAGATTAAGTAAGTCTGAATCTTTTTTTTTTGAAAATCATCTCCTTAGCTATCTAATTATTAGTTAGATAATTGATTTGCAACGACAATTGTTTGTGACTTACTAGTCTTGGAATTAATTCCAGACTGGCCACAGCAATGCGATTCTTTAAGCCTTTTATCAATTTTATCAACCCTACCCAATCGGGCCACACAGACTTAAGCTTATTTTTTGATGATACTGTGGTTGCATTTATCTATTCAAAATTGGCAAGATACACAGACATTACCCCCCCCCCCCCCAACATATAAGCTTATCAGCTTGAGACAGAGTGCATCTGATTTTTATGTCCCCGTAATCGACGATTCGGGACATATAGTTTTTACCCTGTCCGTCCGTCCGTGTGTCTGTCTGTTTTTCCGCAAAAAACTTAACCTTGCGAATAACTTTTAATTTGTTGGAAATATTGCTTTCATATTTCACATGTGTATTCCTTGTGACAAAACCTCTCTTTGGGTACCATCATATTTGACCTTTTGACCTTGACCTTTGAGTTTGACCAGCTTTGCAAAATTTTACTCAACTTTAACCTTTGTCATAAGTTTTGAACAGTTGTTGCAAGGGCTTTCATACTTCATTTGTGTAATTCTTGTCACAAGCCCTTTCTTTGGATGCTAACATCTTTGACCCTCTGACCATTGGCCCACTATAGGAGTTTCACCTACTTTTGAAAAACATTAACCTTGGCTATAACTTTTGAACAGTTGGTGCTAGAGCTTTCATACTTCACATATGTTATCCTTAGGACAAGACCCTTTTTTAGATACCAGCAACTTTGACCATTTGACCTTGTCCTTGAAGTTTGACCCACCCTACTTTTGTAAAACTTTAACCTTGGCCATAACTTTTGAACAGTTGGTGCTAGGGTTTTCATACTTCACATGTGTATTTCTTGTGACAAGACCTTACTTTGGATACCAACAACTTTTACCTTGACATTGGAGTTTGACTTACTTCTGAAAAAGTTAAACCTTAAAAGTTGCTTTAAGTTGCCATACGGGGGCATTAGTGTTTCCCAGTCACATCTTGTTTTAAGCGTGATTTACGTGGATAGCCTTTTTTCAAAAACTTATATATTTGCTTTTTTATCATTATATCAAGTCTTAATATGAACCAAACCAGTATTTATATCGTCTTCAACGAATAAGTGTGTACATGTATTTTGCACATGCATCGTAATTTAACTGCATTATTTTCTTCAACTGTAAAAATGCTAAAGTTAAAGTAGGTGTATTAAAAAATATACAAACTGGCTTCTCCATGTCAATTGTATCGTAAAGAGTCGATCTTTGACTCTCAGTATAGGCGGGTGCAGGGCGCAAAAAGAAGTTGTCTCCAACAGATTCTACATTTTCTCTTTGAATAGGACGAGGCATGTTTGATGGTTGATAAATCAGAGCCTGAAATTTTAATCGCATCCTTAAAATATTTAAATACAGTAATGAAACATTGAATTTGAAGAAGTAACAATCTGCCTACTTGAAGAAATAGTTTGCCTAATATGTAGGTTTAGAATTAATCAGACGATGAGTGTTCTGAAGCATATTTACAATTACCACTAGCTTCTAATTTTTCTCTCTTTCATAAGTTAGACCCGAGGTTCAGATTGTTGTACCTTATTTATTTTTCAGTATACATTAATGTATTGTGAATATTGGGTTTCTATCAGATCGATTTATTTGCTTTCTTTAACTAACACCTACGTTTCCGCCTAGATCCTCGTCTTCCACCTTTTTGTACAGCCGTCTATCTCCAGACTTGGCCTCAATGTAAACATATCGGTCATCATTAAGACTTGTTTCTCCTGATCTTTTCCGGTCGTTTACGTCATTTCTTTGGTTTTGTCTTCGGAAGTCGCTCTCAGAACCTGTTTGATGGTAATTTTGAAAACTACGTCTGTGCGGATCTCCAGTCTCGTTGTAATAACCGGTTTTCATTGGTTTGCTGTATTCTTCTGTTGAACGTGATCGTGGTCTATCAGGAGACAATTGAAAGTTCATAGAGCCACGGGATACTCTGTCATGATCTCGTCGAGGCTCAGGATGATATCGTTTGTGTACGTCTTCCCCGTCTTCCTGAAAAAGGGGGTTCGTTCTGCTTGACTGATTCTCGGGTTCGGAATGGTAGCGGATACCAACTTCCTCTCTGTCATGCTTGTAGAATGCATTCATTTTGCTTGCATCTAGCGGTATGTTTTCAATCTTATTATTTGCTCGAACAACATCACTCTCACACCTTGAAGAATTGTCGCTAAAAGACCTATAAAATTAAATTTTTTAGTCAGTAATGTTTGTTATTCTGCCTTCGGCATCGGGTGACATAACATTCCAGGGCTTTCCTGTCAACTTGGGGCAAATATTCTGGTATGTCACCCTCGAAGCCATGTGATATATGTATAATGTCACTGAAAGAACTATAAAATTAACTATTTTATCAACTGTTATAGTTTCCATATTCAAGCACAATGTAATTATGAATATCTTTGAGTAAAACATGAATATTTTAATGTTATTAATATTATAACGTTTGATTCCCCTATTATTTTTTCTTATCTATTTATAAAAGTGAAAAGAATCAAACATTCCACATGTGTTATCTACAATTTCATTGCAAATCACACACACATATACACACTAGACAAACTTCCTAACGCACCACTTGTTATTCTTATTAAAATTTGAATTGAACATTTGGCTGATCGGTGCAAGTATATACAATATGTCATCTTTTCCAATACAGTGGGGTTGACAAATGTTTGAGTGTCATGACAATACCCTTAAATGACCTTTTTGTCCGAAAACAAATTTCCCAATGTGCGCTCCTGCAGACACCATACTGACTGTTTTAGCACGCTCATTTAGGATCAAACGCTGCATTATACATCAAATACATCTGATTTCATAAACAAGTTTTGAAAAGTAAAATACTAATTTTCTTTGGTGATGCGTTAGGAATTTTGTCTAGCGTTATAAGGTATATTTCTCAAGTTAATTTCGATTATGACGCATCTGTACGGACTCTGTGCTCAATAATGGTGAAATTCGCTTCAGAGCCACCACAGATGGAATGATAGCTAAAACAGTGGTGGATTTTAGTAAAAGAAAATACCCACACTTACTTGAAAATTAAAGGATACATGTATGAGAAACTTTCGCTTTGAAAAAAGTCTGGAATGTTACTTTTTCGAATCCTTACAACATACCCGTGTCTTTTCCCCTTTTGCAAACGGTAACCGAAGCATGCAACTGAAATCAAAAGAATTAGTAATAAACCGCCTCCTACACCACCTGCTACAGCTATAATCGTCATCTTGCTGAGTGAAATGGCATCAGAAGTAGATGTGGAGGGTCTTGAAGTAGATTGTTTTGGAGTGTTTTGATGACAAAATTCTCCATGGTAAATCACATTATCATCAAGGTCACAACTGAAATGATTTGATTTCATGAGTACATCTCTTGTTTCGTTCGTTCAATCAATCGAGAAAACGCTTCAAGAATATACCCAAAATGTGAGTTATGTTTATAAATCTTGTTATTTTAGAAATTATGTTTATTGGTATAACAGCTGACATAAAAGAATGAATAAACATACGGATGAAACAAGTTTTTTTTCTCGTTTTAGAGGAAAACACACTTACAGGCATACGGGTCTTTTGTCCTTGTTAAGTACACATGTTCCATGATTTCCACACTTCGTTGAGCCCTCGCATTTATGCATGCAAGTGAGATTGCCATTTAGAACACCACATGTATATTCCGCAACAGGACAAAAACATGAATGTTGTAATAATGACCCTTTATCATGAAAATGAAAAGAAGATGCAAAAATAGTGTTATTTTGGTATATTTTTTGTTTTGATTATCCTATCAAAAAGGAAAAAAAAAACATTGGTGTGAAAACATAACAAAGATTTGCCTGTGTTTAAACCTTTCCAAACGTATCATCAATGTTCATATTTGATACCAATATTGTAGCCTATGCTGACAAATATAAATTGATCGAACAAAAACGCTTTGGCGAAAAACATTTAAGGGAGCCGACTGGGGTTTTATTGTGTGAAAACTACTATAGAGAAACTCTTTAATTTTATACCATATGTACCTTATATTGACTTCAGTATACATGCCAAGTTTAGTGAACATCTACCGTCTGGTTATTTTTTAGGGACCATTTCAAAATACAGGTACATTTACTATAGGATTATATAGGAAAATACCATTTTTTCGCACTTCGGAGAAAATTATATAAATGCTACTGTAGACTTTTTGCTCAAATTTTATTATCTGATGGGTAGTACTATATTCTACATCTTAAGCAAGAAACACAAAATTCTACCGTCTGGTTTCCAGAGGGGGCATCTCAAAATGCCAAAAATCATGATATTTTCCTGTTTTTATGGAGTATAACAACACATGACAGATACAACAGATTTACATAAAAAAATAATGAAAATGATTTTGAGAATCTCAATTTCCTGTGTTTGAAATTTCAAGAGCATTTATTTTATACTTTTTTATTTTATGACATAATTAATGACCCCGCTTAAAGAACTTCGGTTATTCATAACGTCAAAAACATGCTATTACGACGTCTATCTACCCATCATTTGAAAAATCGTTTTAAAAATCAATTATTCAAAACCGTAATTAGATTTTTTAACCTTGGAATTCCTAAATTTGTTAATTTTTATAAATTATGTAAAAATAGTTGCTTTAGAAGAGTAAATACGCTTTATTTTACTATGCTGCGCGAAGTATTGCGCAATGAAAACCCCAGTCGGCCCCCTTAAGATAGTTCGCATCAAAGGTAGTATAAAACATTTACTTGTTTTGTATTACTAGTATTTTCCTTTGCCAGTATTTATGATAAATATTTATAATATTTGATTTGAAACAGTTTCACTCTAATATTCTTAACTGTTACTAAATTAGAATATATATTTTTATTTAAAATGTAAAAACTTGAATAATTACCATGTACTACTCCAATCTACCCGTAGCCTTGGTCAGCTATAATTTTTGTTCACATAACACACCCACCCACCCACCCACACGAATACCCTTAAAGACATTTGACAGTCACATGATTAATTAAACATGAAGATATATTTTTTCAATATGTTTCTCCCACCTACCTGTAGTTTACACCAGCTTGAATTGTAGCACAATATACGTCATTTATCAACATATTTTTGACAATTTCCAGATTAATTAAATTAATCTGATCATAATCATAACCTGATCCCGATGACTTGTCACACCTACCTGTACTTTCTACCAATAATTCTGCTGATTAATATATGTTATTCCCATATGTATTTTGGATAGTTATCAGATTTATTGAACATGAGAATATTTCCTTGATACCGAGGTTTTCACTAACCTTCCTGTAGCTTGTGCCAGCTAAATTCCTGCACAAAACACGCTAATACTCTACCTAATCTAGAGATTTACAAGACAAATTAATATTCAAGATATTACATTGATCTCAGATCAGCTCCTCCCATCAACCTGTAGTTTTTACCAACTTAAATTTCAGAACAGTATACGCTATTTATCAGCATTCAAAACATACCAGTTACCAGATTAATTCAACATGAAAATATAACCCTGATCCTAGATGAATTTTTTTTTCAAATACCTGTAGTTTATACTAGCTTAGAAAACTGTGCAATATACGCCATTCCCCTAGGTACTTAGGACAGAAACAAGATTAATTTAAATGAGCATATTACCTTGATTTCAGATGTTTTCGCTCACCTACTCATAGCTCGTAGCACTAATATTCATGCACAAAACTCGCGTATGCTCTATCTACTATGGAGAGTCACAAAATTATAATTAAATATAAGGATATCACCCTGATCCCAGATGATTGATCCCACCTTCTGTTAGTTTGTACCAGCTTAAATTCCAGCACAGTATATTTTATTCATCAACACACTTCGCAAAGTTACATGATTTATACAATGAAAATATGTTGTTGATTCATTAGATTTCACTGTGGCTCAATTTCGTTGAATTAGTGTGTACCTCTCATCCATGAATTCACACCCTCCACGAATTAATTATCTATGGTACATAGTCAAATTTGCTTCTGTAGATATAAGAAAATACACGAAATTACGTCCTCACAAACCTGTATAATTTGAGCAATCTACGAAAATTCACCCCCACGAATTTTAATGAATCCACGGTGACCCTGATTCCAGATGATTTCCCCCACCTTCCTGTAGTTTTTACCGTTCGAATGCGAGCATAAACACACTTATACCCTTCAGACTTCGAGTCTCAAGAGTAATTCAACAAAAGATTATTATTATCATACAAGATGATTTTTCCCACCTTCCTGTAGTTTGTTTCAGCTTAAATCGCGGATAGTATATTCTATTCACCAACAGACTAGTACATTAACCAGATTTTTTAATTCATGAAAATAGAACAATGATCTCAGATGATTTATACACCGTTTGTACAAGCTTATATTCTACCAGAAAACATAATAATATCCTACCTAAATTGGATAGTCACAAGAGTTTTAAAACAAGGTTATATACTTTGGATATATATCAGTTTTATTTTACATGAGAGGATTACCTTGACCCTAGATATTTTTCCCTTCCTATAGTTTTCACCAACTAAATCTCCTGCAAAACACATGCTAATATCCTATTTAATTCTGATAATGTAAATATTGATTGACCATGATGTAATTACCTTGGTCCAAAATTTTCCCCCTCCTACCTGAAGTTTATACCAGTAAAATAAGGAGATAACGAACAGTAATTAAGCTCGGGGTCCATTTAAACAATTCAAATATCGGGAACAGAGCAAACACGGACCTCCTACGACAGATTGGGAATCAGGTGCCATAAAAGAGTGAGCATCCTCTGTCGACCGGTCACAACCGCCGTGTGCTCCTTGTTATGATCGGGTAAACGGAAAATTCCGTATAAATTCCAGTTTGTAAATAATAGCCCATCAATTAGTATGAAAAACGTCAGTCAGTATTTGACTTAATGATAGATAATATTTGCATATAAGGTCATTACATCGACCATAGAACTTGCGAAATGATGACTTCAAACGAAACTGTTGATATCCCTGTTTCATCAACTTGTTAGTTAATAGCTTACCTCGTTTTAAAAATTCGTACGTAGAGCATGCTATTG